GAAGGTTAAAGTTCTAATTAGGAAAACAGGAGCTGGCAGTGGTTTAGTGCTGAGTTAAATTCTGAGACCCCAAGGAGAAAATGAAAATAAATAATATAAAAACAAAATAATCTCTAAGGTCTCCTCTCACCCTTTATTAATCGCAAAATAAACAAATCTCTAGCAAAGGATGATCCCTTTGCCTTCGTGGGCACCCTTTGCAGTGGCGGTTGTGGGGGAACTAAAACACTCTGGGCTGCCACACACATGCAATGAGAAATCGTCCAAGGTGTGCTACTTTCTCTAACTCATACTTGGGAAGAAAAACAAACCCTCACCCTGCTCTCTTTGTTGTAGCATATAACAGTGAAAAGTACTCAGAATGAGAAGTCAGAAGGTTTGGAGTCTAGTCTCAGCTTTGCCAGGATTCAGAGCTTTGACTGCAGGCAGGCCCTGTGGTATTTCAAACCTCAGCTTCTTTATTTCACACAATGAACTGTAGTCGAGCCTCCGTTGACTTTCCAAACCTCATGGTGTGATGATACTCATCTAAGAAAACAGAACTAAACAGATAGTCCTTCTAGTAACGACATGCTGATAACAATTATTACACAATGTTGTGGCTCAATAACTGAAAATTTATAAAGTCATCCTCCAGATAAACATAGTAAGTCTTACAGTGGGGAGAAAAGAAGTTTTCGAGAGCTTGCAAAAAACAGGGCAAACCTTTCTTATGTGTAAGAATAAGAAGAATTTGATTGAGTTTTCATATTATTTCAAATCCCAGGTTCTGTGGGTACATTCCATTCTAAGAGAAAAGTCAACTAATTTAAAGAAGACAGGTGAATATAAGGTCATACTATTATAAGCTATAGTAATTCAAAACTAGAATAGCAACGTAAGCAAACACCCCAAATTAGATTCCAAGCTACTTTTATTTGGCAAATTTAACCTCTTCTGCCAAATACCACAGTAAATTAACAAGGCTTCTTCTTTATTTCCCTTGAAACTGTGGAATGATCAAAAGACAGAAAATAGAAGAAATATATATATGTATGTATATATAGTTATATGTATATAAAGGTGCTGGATAATCCATACCCTGAATAGGTATTCTCTGACTAAGAAGTTGGTTTTACTTACTTTTTTCTTTCAGGAGCAGGGTTTTGGGTTCTAATGAATTATTTTACCCCTGGTTATGTAAATCAGTGTTCCTAAACACTTTTGAGAGATAGTCCATCAGTTAAAAATATTCAGTATATATCCACAATATTTATTCATTTATTAAGCAGATCACTTTTTGCATATACAAGTATACATTATAAAATATAAACATAAATAAAACTGCTAAAAAATCACTTACTGATGAACTAGATATTTGTTATGTTATGCTAGTCATGGTGCTTCATATTATCATTAGCCTACATCTCAAAGTATAATATATACTTAAGGCAAGTCTCATTGTTAACAAAATTAGATATAAATCCATATTTCATAGATCTTCTTGATCATTTCAATGAAAGAGAAGCTGATTTGTTATAAGACTGAATTAAGCAAATCATCAACCTTGTTAACCTTCCATTATATCAAATTTTTATGGTAGTCAGAAAAGCTTCAATTCTATGTATTTCCTGTTGTTTGCTTATGCTTGTATTATTAGTATTATCTTCTTTACAAAAATCCTTTTAAGCCACTTTTCTACTTTGTGACTGCTGGTTTGGTTAATACTGAATAATAGAATCCTTAATTCCTTAAGTGAACACACGTAAAATCAATAACACGCAACACAATGGAATTGAAAGAAGAGCAGGAATCACATGTTAGCCGCTTCACACTGTGGATTTCCCAGTATTTCCTCAAGATTCTTCTGCGAGGGAGGACAGGAGACCAACTGGCCTCTGTGCAACTGGGAGGCCAGTATCAACGTGTATATTATATATTTGCAAGAGCTTAGGGTTTTTTTTAAATAAAAAAATAATAAACATAAACAGTTCAAAGTTTACTCCCCACAGCCTATTTTGGAGATAAAGGGTATAAGCAGTTGTGGTACATAAGGAAATCTGTTACCTGAAGCATCTGATACTTTACTTGAATATCAATGGGCCATGCTTATGTTCTAGGCACACCATAGTTTAAGAGTCCTTCAGCTTGACCAGTAGGAAACGATTATGGAATTTAGAGGTTGCGCTCTCTTGAACAGCATTTTTCACTATGGTGACTATGACCATTCTTACTCCTCTGAGCTTAAGTCATTCATGACCTCAGAAACAAACAACAACAAGGTTATACAACAGATGTGTTTACATTAAATACTTAACTCTATTCTCCTGTCCAGGTAAGATTAATCTTCAAGCCACAATTATCCTGGGAGGTGCTCCAAAAGTTTGTTCATTGGCTAAAGGTTATGCTAGTCACCATAACCTTGATACCAACTATAGATAATTGAAATGATTATCTATAATGTATATTATAATGCTTGAGTGTACATGGCATCTAAACTCTTTCTTTAGCATTCTTCATAATTTGTCTTAGTCTGCTAAGCCTCCCATAACAAAATACTATAGTTGGGATGGCTTAAACAACAGAAATATGTTTCTCAGGTTCGAGAAGTTGGGGAGTCCAAGTCCACTGTGAGCTTCATTCCTGGTAAGAATTCTCTTCCTGGTTTGCAGACCATTGCATGGCCTTTTCTAAGTACTAGAGTGAGCTCTCCAGTGTCTCTTTTTTTTTTTTAATGTTTTACTTATTTCTGAGAAAGAGAGAGAGAGAGACAGCATGAGCAGGGGAGGGTCAGAGAGAGAGGGAGACACAGAGTCTGAAACAGGCTCCAGGCTCTGAGCTGGCTGTCAGCACAGAGCCCGATGCAGGGCTCGAACCCACAAGACATGAGATCATGACCTGAGCCAAAGTTGGACACTTAACCAACTGAGCCACCCAGGCACCCTTCCAGTATCTCTTCTTATGACGACACTAATCTTATCAGATCAGGGCCTTTCACTTACAACCTCTTTAACCTTAATTACTTCCATAAAGTCCTTATTTCCAAATATGGTCACATTGGAGGTTAGAGTTTCAACATAAGAATTTTGAGGAGACACATTCAGTCTGTAACAAAATTTATATGCTTTCTTTCAACAAATATTTATGTTGTGTCTTCTACGTGCATGACACTATAACCAAGTTGTTCTCACTCTAGAGAAGACACAGTAAACAATAAATATATGCATGTGTATGCGTGTGTGCATGCACATGCATGTGCGCACATGTATATTATATTAGAACAGGTGGTCAGGGATTACCTCTCTGACATGAGGACAAGGGAGAAAATATCTGATGTTACTGAAGAGCAAGCCTCTGAATATTTAGAGGAAGAGTCTCAAGCTCAAAGACCAACAGGCAGGAGGCTGAGGGATGAAAGAACAGCAGAAAGGCCAGTGAGGGTGGCAGGGCTGGGGAAGGGACAGTGATGGAGAAGGAGGTAGAGAGATGTGGGGTGGCAGACATGTAAGGCCTTGGTGGTTAAGGTCAAGTTTGAATTGTCATGATGGAAAGTGACTGAAAGTGATGGGAAGCCATGGGATGGTTTTTGAGCAGAGGTTGGCACAAGCTAATACACACACTTTTAAAGGGTCATCCAAAACTCTACATGGATAATAGACCATCGGGGCAAGACTGAGAGCAGCAAGACAAGCATAGAGCTTTTTTCAGAAATCCAATTTTGGATTTTCAGAAACCCAAAGGGGCAATGCTGGTTTGGAAGAGGGGTAGTTAGGGTTAGACTTGGAAAACATTCTGAAGCTGGAGCTATCAGGATTTCCTGATGAACTGAATATGAGATATGAAAGAAAGGGTAGCTAAAAAAAAATCTTTGCAGCATTGAAATAATTCTAGGATTCAAAACAAAACAGCAATCTAAAAGACCATTTGGAGGTTATCCTTGCCTAGGACTCCTTTTCACAGGTGCAATTAATTATGTCTGCACTTGTCTATTTAGTAGCTATCTCTCCCCCATAAGAAGATGAGCTCCTGGAAGGTAGGACCTCCATCTATCTATCTAGATCACCCTTACATCACCTGCACCAAGATCAGAGTCGGAAGTTTTTGAATCCTCATCAATACTTATGAATGAATATCCAAAGCTTTGAGCAATCTTGAAATTATATCTCATAAGTAGCAATTGAAAGAAATAGGGATGCTAAGAAGGCAATATCCTCATTAGATAGCAGGTAGGACTATAGAGCTTCTATGTTTTCTAGCTTTCCTTTTTCTAGTATTTAAATTCGAAGACAAAACCAATTGTACTACACCAAAAGGGTGTGTCTCCTATCATCTGGTTAATACATTCTTCTGTAAATGGAGTTTTACCCTGATCTGACATCATAACCACATTGTACATTTCATCTGTTGAATAATTCTTAGAAAAGTACTATTTCTGCTAAAAATTAATACATACCACTAGCCTTCCATAATTCAAACTCAAGCAAAAAGGCAAAACTGAACAGTGAGGTCTACAGATAATTTTCAAATCTTATTTTCAATGATTGCAGGCTGTGTCTCCCATAAACTTTTATGCCAGCTGTTAAAAGCTCTTCAAATTGTTTTTGTTGCATTTCATTTTCACCACTCTTCCATACAGCAAGGAAAATAAAAAAGAAGACTAAAGAGAGGAAAAGTTGTGGAGATTTGGGGATGCAAGGTAGTGACTGGCCTATGTAATCCCGGTAACTAAAAGTTTGGAATTATTCAGACGCGATAATACTTGGAACTTGGGACAGAGCTAGTATGTAATGTACTGGTTTCCAGCATTAACTTTTTATTTAAAAAATAAGTTCCTTAACCCTTCTGCTGAAAGGTCACTCGGTTGAGGTTTTGAAAGGCGAACGTGCAGACGGCTGCAGTAACGATAGTCTTCGTGTAAACTACCCAACACGACACAGAGTGATGTGTAGTTTGTGATGTCAGCAGACACCGCAGATAGAATCGCCTGGGTTTCGACCTCTTGGCTAGACAACGTCCCGACAAGAAAACGCTGACCCTTGACACCGCCAGAAACTTTCCCAGACTTGGCCTCCATTGGTAGAAGGAGTCGCCCCACTCACGACGGGCGCCCCACGAGAGTCCCGGAGGTGGGTGGTGGGGACGCCGACACTGGGGCGGGGTCCCTCCAAGCCCTGAGCAGACAAGGGCGGGGCCTCACGCACTTCGGCTGGCAGGGGCTGGGAGGGGGGAGACCTTGAGAGCCGGAGCCGCAGGGGGCCAGCCCGGGTCGTGGGGGCAGCGGGGGCGGCCCAGGGCCACGCCCGAAAGTCTCCGCAGGCCGCGAGGGTGGGGAGGGCCCCGCAGCCCCCGCCCCGCGGAGAGGCGGCGGCGGGCCGCAGCGAGGTGGCCGGGCGGGGCGGCGGCTGGCGGGCGGGGGGCGCCCGAGGTGGGAGGGGTGGGGTCAGGCGGCCTTACATAGCCCAAGCGCCCGCCCCGCCGCCCGCCGCACCGCCAGCAGCCGCCGCCGCGCCTCCGGCGCCCGCAGGTAGAGTCGGCGCGGGCGGGGCGGAGCCGCGTCAGGGGGAGATGAGGGACGCGCCTGGGTGGGAGGTGTTCCTCAGAGGGTCCCCCTGTGCGTGCACCCCTATTATCCTCCTACTCGGGGGACGCGAGGGCTTGGAGCATCCCTTTGCACCCCTGAAAGGGGTGGGGGTGACCTGGTTACCTTACAGTGACCTCCTGACAGCTTCGCAGCTGCACTGAGAAAGCACAGGGCCCCAGAGGGTGCTAGCTTCCAAGATACTTTGGGTGTTTTCTGCACCCTGCACCCTAACTGTCCAGCTTTCTCTCTCTATTTCCCTCTCTCTCTCACCCTCTCACCCTCCTCTCCCGCCCCCCGCAGGCAGGCGGAGTTGGGGGCCTGAAGGATTAGAAGGATAGAGTCCCTATCCCTCGGTCGGAAGAGATTAGAATCTGGGCAGGACGTGTCCAAGCTGGAGTCTTCAGAAAGTAGGTGCAGCATCTGCGGCTCCTGGTGTCCAGCCCTCAGGTGATGCGTGATTGATTTTTCTTGGTTTGTTAGCTCTGAAAGCCCCAGGCTGTAAACGGTTTGGGTCAACAATGAGACTCTGATCCACAGCGGCTTTAGGCTTTCATGCCCTTCTCTCCAACACCTTCTGGTATCTGGAGGAGGGGCAGATTGCAGGACCCTAAAAGTTTGAAGTGAGTGTTCAAAGGAGCTTAGTGTTTTTAGCTTGTGACTTTTTGAAAAAAAGAAAATACAGACTCTCTTAGTTTGAGTTATTTATTTAATATACATGCATTCATCTTAAGAGAACTGATGACGGCATTACATAGTGAGTACGGTAGGTATGGCATCATTAGAACTGAAAACCAAATTTACTGTATGGTTTTAGAAAAATTGCTTCTTTATGTGTCTTTTTATGTGCTCTATTACTGGGGTGCGGCTTTGTTGGGAGCGCTGTCAGTATCTCCTTGGTGTCTTGTGAGGTTTCCCCTGATGTTGGCCATCTGGCCTGTTCCCTTTTTGTAATATTTGTGTTTATGGTGAGCATGAACCTGCTTCCAGGCCTCTAGCCTTGGTCTCAGGTGAGAGGAGAAAAGTATCAAAAAATGCGCTCTTGGCAAGTTTGGGAGCAAGGAAGAGTGCTGTAGATTTTTATACCCATTAAAGTTTTCACGAATTGACAATTTAAAACTCAAAGCATTGTTTACCACCTGTCAGACTCACTCGTAAGTGTAAGGATTAACTAATAAAAGATTTGTAAAATGCTTCCTGAATATAAAACTCCATAAATATGCAAAATAGTAATAATCCACCCATTGTTAAATTTATGTAGCTGCTTCTGCCATGCATACAAGATGATTTAGAATGCATGTTTCCTGTCAATTAAACAATGAGTTTGGAGTAAAATAATGAGTTCAATTCACATCATATGAAACTTTGAAATAAAATTTCTCCCATAAGACAACATTGACAGAGAATCATAAAGTAAGCAGCATTTCAAAAAGTTATATTTGGAATGGCACTTACCTTATGGCTGGGGGGAAAGGGACCCAGTGAACTTCTGAAACTAAGAAATATTCAGCCCTGGTTCAAGTGTGCCTGAACCATAAATATTCCCTTATGTTTTGGGGAATTCTAAGGAGAGAGCAAACAGATGCTGTGGCCTTATAGATAGCTGTCCACTTTAATCCACAAAATATGCCTCTCTGTATTTTAAGGTTGAAGTTCAATCTGTGGTTTTGTCCACAGTGAAAAGAATCTTCATAGTTACTTGGATAAATTATTCATTCTTCCAATATAATGGGCTTGGTTTTTAAGCATCCTTAATACGAGCAATCATTTTAATATCCAGCAATCATTTTAATATCTAATAATCTAATTAGATTAATTTGTTCCCAATGGATTGAGTGATATGTTAACATCACATTTTTCTCTTTGCATGTATTTAATAATAAAGCATGTCGTTTTTCTGCTTACTGGTCTCCTAAAGTAAAACCTGCTTCTTATATGCTAATTTTAAGTATAAATATTACTAAGGATGGCCTTTGCTGTTTTATGAAGGCAACTCTAGATTCACCACTAGCAGATTAAGCTGTGAGCAAAACCATGAAATTGGGGATACTTTTCCTTGACATCTTCCCACCTTCAGTGACCTTTTCTTCTCATTTTCTTCACTCAGCTCTCAGATGGACAGCTGCTAAACAGGCCCCAGCTCAGTATTCCAGAACTTCCTCTCTGCCAGCACTCTTCCTTTATCCAAGTAACTCAACCTCTGACCTACTTATTTTCCAACAGTTCGGTATGGGTGGAAGTCACTAGGTGAAAAATCAAGAGTTTGCATTTATCAGGCAGCTATGATACACCAGGCACTGAGCCACTTTATCTCATTAAATCCCTGATGCAGCAAATGTCATCCATGTTTCACACAAAAGAAAACTGAGTCTCAAAGAAGCCCTGGTCCCCAGGGACAATCAAAGAGCCAGGATTTGAAGCAAAGCATTGTGGTGCTTCCTGCTGCATTGTGAGACTGATCCTAAGAAGGGCTTATGTTCTGGACTGAGGCATGGAAGAGTTCTCCCATTGACTGTCTGGCCATTTGACCTTAAACCTCTGGGCCTTTGACTTCCTTTCTCTAGTTTTGGATTAAATGATCTCTCAGATATGGAAAGGATATTTGGATGCCAGCCACATAAACTGCTTCTCCCAGGGACTTCCAGAATATGTTTTTCCCTGCCCTGCTCTTTCTTTCAATCCCCTCCTTGGTCTTTTATCCTTCCTGTGGGTCCAAGTAAATGTCACCTCCTCCAAGAGACTTTTCCCAAATACTCTTCTGTCATTTTCTAGCTCAGGCCTAGTAATCAATTCTAAACTGAGAACCAACTGCATTTATTTTATTTACACATCAGCGTATATATGGTTGGTGTTTTTATCTTCTCCGCCATCATTCCCATCATCAGACTATAAGCCACATGTGACCAGAGCTCTTCTTGTCTGACTTTTTCCATTATTGTATTCCCAAGGTCTACCACAGTGACCCATAGCACATAACTGGTGATCAATGAGTGTATGTTGAATAATTATAAATAATATGATTATAATTCTATAATGAATAATTATTTCCTACAAAGGACATGTGCTAATGGCCAGTATATCATTCCATCCCTGGGAAAACCTAAATGGAGTATCACTGATCTTACACTGTTACAGCCTAAATTAGGAATGGGGATCCAAGTACAGTAAAGGAGACAGCAACACAACCCTGGGACACACAGAACAAGTGGACATATTGCACATGGTCCAACCCCCATATTTTACAACAGAAAAACTAAACCTCAGAATTATAATAAAACTTGGGTTTAGAAGGCCACTGGAGATGAACCAATGGTCCAAACCATCGTTTTATTCATGAGGACATAGAACATAAAATATGGAACCGCTATATCCTGACTTCCAAACTAGCACACCTTTCACCAAGAAGTCAAAAACCTCAGGGACAGGAGTAGGGAGCTTTAGGCAATGACAATTTTTCCCCCTAGAAATTCCAAAGAGGCTTAGGTTTCCCATACCCATCCTGGACAGCGGCATTAGTACACAGCAGAACATTCTACTTCAGATCATCTAAGTTTTAAATTTTGTATGGCCTGTATAAATTTCAGTAACTCATTTACTGTTTTAATGATCCACAGGCAGACTTTTAATACCTATCATTAGTTTACCAGTTCTGTTTAAATGCTGGAGAGCTGCAAATGGCAGAATTACAGTGCTGAGCACTTAACCACTACCGTGATAGATTCAAGATACGTTTAAAAGATGATTGATATTTTGAACCCCAAATGATGATGGCTTGTTTTTAAGGACTAAAATAACTTTTCTTCTCTAACTTAAAAAGCAATCCTTGCTAGAGTATTACATCCCATAAAAAAAGCAGTCCTTAAACTTTAAAGGGCATAAAAATCATCTGGAAGGCTTTTAAAAACCCAGATTGCTTAGAGCCTTTCTGCACATTTCTGAATTAATAGGTCTGAGATTGGACCCAGACAACTGCATTTTTAACACCTTTGGAGATTTTCTCAATCAAATTGTCTGAAGACCTCACTTTGAGTTCCAATAATAATTTTAGTATGTTTTGAATTTTCCCCAATTCCTTATAAGAGAAATTTTTTTTAAACAAGGGTAATTGGGGAAGAGTTTGATGTGTTTCAGTCTAGCAAACAGCACACTGGGTATGACGGGAATCTGTTTCTTTATAGCCAAAGCCATGTAATCATGATATAGTTACTAGATTTGATACTGGCCCCAAATCTGGAATGTTCCAAAATGTTTCTACTGGACCACAAAAGTAAATCAGTAATTAGCAATGAGAGTTAAGTGTTAAGTTTTGTGGAGCAATAATGAAGCCCCCACCCTCTAGATGACTACATTCAGTATAGTAGAGAGATAAGATTAATACCCACAAAACATTCAAGGACAGGGTTGCAGATCAAGTACAGGATGCCCAGTTAAATTTGAATTTCAAATATACAACAAATCACATTTTAGTATAGGCATGTCCCATATAATATTTACACTTGCTAAATCTGGCAGCCTTTCTCAGTGAACATTAGCATTTAATAACATTAGTTTCCAGATCTTGGGGGGGGGGGGGTGATAATGCTGAGGGGTTGTTAAGCTTTGAGAAACTGAGAAAAGCCCTGAATATGGTCCTGAGAGCACTTTCCAACAGAATGCTCACAGTATTCCATGGACCCCAGGCTGCCAAAGCCCTTATGGGCATCAGAGTCATCTGCAGTGTAGACAGCAGAGGTCAGCTCTTCAGACTACTTACTCAGGTTAGTGAGTCTGGAAGGCAGCTTAGAAAAGTGGAATGTGAACTGGGCTGTTAAGACCAGGAGAATTTATCTGTATTGTGGGTTTAAGAGACTTCTTAAAGCTTTCACAGAAGACAGGTTCTCTGAGGCTTGGAGGGTATTTAGTAAGGAATATGGAGAAATTAGATTGGACTGGTTTTTAGAGTCCAGATTGTAGATAGCCTTAAATTCTAAAGGGCTTAGACTGCCTATTCTAGGAAATATTGTGTCCCTACTGATGTGTCAGTTAGGGATGGGAAGATGATCAGACAAAGGGAGATCATAGAGGGAAATTGTAGGCAGCCTCGGCTCTAGGGTCAGCAGGCCTGGCTGGTGTAAGCTCCTCCAGTAACAAGCTGGGAAGCCTTCCATATGTGTGCAATTTCTGTGGGCCCCCATCTCCTAAACTGGGAATTGGGAATAATAAAAGGAGCTACTAATGGGTTGTAGTGAGGATAAAATGAAGTTGTACGGTGCTGGCACAGTGGGTGACACAGCATAGATATGTGATAATATAATCTAATATAATCAGAGATCCCCGGGGCTGTTATCTACTACCCCTGCTGCTACTGCCCTTGTTATTACTGAAAGGGGTGTGGTCACCCAGCAGTCTGCAAGAGTGGTTTCAGGGGAAGTAAAACAAGAGAAAAATGATTATTTGATCTGGATTTCGAT